GGGGGGGGGGGGTGGGGGAACATCACATCCTCCCCCCTGATCCTCAACACCGGAGCCCCTCAGCTCCAACACCATCGTGAAGTTTGTTGACGACACAAGCGCCATCGGCCTGATCACCGACGGCGACGAGGATCACAACCTCCATCTCAATGTCAGAACCAAGGAGCTGATTGTGGATTAGAGGAAGCAGCAGAGAGAGGGCAACGCCCCCATCGCCATCAATGGGACTACGGTGGAGAGAGTCAGCAGCTTCAGGTTCCTGTGTCCACATCACTGAGGACCCGACATGGACTCTTCACACTAACACCATCACCAAAAAAGCTCGACAGCGGCTCTTTTTTCCACCGCAGGCTGAGGAGGTTCAACATGGACTCCAGGATACTCTGCTACTTCTACAGGTGCACCATAGAGAGTATCCTGACCTTCTACAGGTGCACCATAGAGAGTATCCTGACTGGCTGCATCACGGCCTGGTACGGCAGCTGCACCGCCCTCAATCGTAAGGCTTTACAGAGGGTGGTGAAAACTGCACAGAACATCACCAGGACGGAGCTGCCATCCATGGAGGACCTCTACTCCCAGCAGCTCAGGAAGAAAGCCCTCAAGATTATCAAAGACCCCCATCACCCCGGCAACAATCTTGTCTTTTTGCTGCCGTCTGGCAAGCGGTACCTTAGCATCAGGATTAAACCCACTACACTCAGAGGCAGTTTTATCCCATAGGCCATAAGACAATTTAATGCCTGAGCTTGCACAATATTTATAGTTGTTATTGCTTTTTTTTTACTGTCATGTCTTGTAATTATATTTTTGAGGAACCTGTGACCCACGTTTTTCATTCATTACACCACTACACTGTAGTTGCGTATATGATATGACAGTAACACTTTTAATCTTGAGGTTTCCAAGGGGTCCAATAAGCAATGGAAATTCCCCATTGCTTATTGGACCCTATATTGAATATATTGATATATTTTAGAAAAAAAAGCTTTGTGGCCAACACATGTGTATGATACTGACACGTTAGTTCAGCAGGATAATCTCCACGTAATAACAACATTTTTGGAGGGTTATGTAACCGGCAGGAATACAAATCGAACATAATGCTTTCAAGGGTCGCAAGGGTTGGGCGCCACCACCAGTAAGCTAAAGGCGGACTGCTTTATTTAGGTTGAATGACACAAACCAGCAGTGGAGATGTGGGATAATTACTGACTTGTTTTATGTCGTAGCACGGTACGTAAAAATTCTCTTAAGCTTGTGTTAACTACAGACCTAATTTCAGGCTTCTGAACACAAACATATTCAAAAAACATTGACTTTGAGACAAGGGAACCTTAAAGTGGTGACATGCCCCAAACAAATATGTCCGTGTTTTAATACTCATTACTGAACAACTATTTTGAAACTGTTATCAGTTAGTAGTATTTCTTCCTCTGTGCAAATGAGAGAAAGTGACTTAGGTGAATTAGGTTTCTGGTGTTTGCACGTTGTGAGTAACATTATTATGTCACCCTGACCAAACAAACACCACAGGGAGGGATTTTGTATACGCTTTGTCAATTTCTCTGTTCCACAATAGCACCAAGACAGACACAAATGTAATGAAATAGTCCAAAGTGAACACATAAGTCTTTGGAACAAAACCACTAAGAGACAGTAAATGTTTGCTGCTTACCACTTTGAGAAGCAATCATCCCCTCAGCCATGGCCTATTCTTCTCTCTCTTCTTCAGCTGTGGTTCTCCCTATTTTCAGTCTTTTGTCTGGAAGGAGAGGAGAGGGAACAGGTAGAAATAAAAAGGAAAAAACGATGTGCGAGTATAAAATCCACAGAGAGAATCAATACATAAAGTTCCCGATTTCAAACATCTTGAAAACATAATGCTAGGAAATTAGAAGAACACACAGTAAAAGAGACAATAAAAGGTTTTTTGATGCAAATAGCTTCGCGGTATGGTGAGTTTTCAAATCACATTAAAAATCACAGGATATATACATCTATTCTAATTTATTTCAAACTAAGCAAGGCTTACAGTGACCTGAGTCCTGGTTCGATTTTTTTTAACAGAAGTTCCTGATCTTTTTAGAGTCCCGAGCAAACAGTGTGACCTACGCAATGCACACTGGCCCCTGCCTGCTCCTCTCTACTATAATGAGTCCCCTTATCCAGACTGCAGGAGGAAACACAGAGGATGGTGATTATGCAAAAGGCGTGCCTGAGTTGGTAATGCGACGATGAATAAGAAAGAGAGAAAGGAGACAGTTATCTCCTTAAAGTCCAAAGGCAGAGAGATAACACAAAAAAAAGTTTGACTCAGGACACTCTTGTTAAAATCATTCTTGACACCCTGTGCTATTAGTACGCCATTAAGAGTTCAAGGACAATGGCTGTCCTGTTTTTTCATCATTTATCCGTTGGATCCCTTTGTTAAGCCTGAACCCAGATCCTCACGATGTCCACAGAATATTGATGCACTGTGAGGGGGTGATTTTCCTGACTTTATAATAATCCTCTTTTATGTCTGCCCTTGATATAACAGATACACCAAATACATTTGATAATCCAGAATGAAAAATCCATTAAAAAAAATCCAATTACCGGTATATATACTAGAGTCTATCATAAGACATCATTTTAGCCAAGCTGGCATTGCCAAAAAGCGGAAATGTCATTGAATTATGTTTACGCATTTATGGTACCCAGAGTATTTAGTATACATGTAGTAGTACATAATTTGTTGACACAGTGCCACCAATAGCACACATGTAACGATCTCAACAACTGATAAATGCCTAAACCATGTATCCTCCCATCTTTAGCAATTTGTTGACCTATAGCACAAGGTCGACTTTTTTGGTCACTGAAACAAATACTGCCACACATATCGGATTCATTGCCATCAAATATAACATTAATCCCCCACATGGGATGAATTGGAATACATGTGATGATCACCTGACTTTTTCATCCAACAGTGCCATCAGACCAAGATGGCTGTGGTCCTATTCTTTGTTAAATTATAAACTTATTGAGACATTCACTGTTGCAGTGTGTAAGGCCCGTTTGTGTAAAGCAAATGTACATTAAAGTGGACCTATCATGCTATATTTGAATAATATAGTGTAGGGCCATACCTACTGTATATAAGGCATATTTAAACTTTTTATTTTTCAAAATACCAAACAGATCATGCATTTTAGCCATTCCTCATTTCGCTCAATTTAACACTGTCTTTGCATGGGCTGATTCTGAGAGAACAGCACCATCTACAGGCCTGGCATATGTACTACAGCCTCTCCAGCGCTTTCAATGTCCGTGGCTGTCTCCTCCTGATTGGTGGAGTTGGCCCAATAGCCGTAGCGCCACTTCTGTGACGTCATAAAAGTGTTCAAATCTGGATCAGTCTGTATCAGATCCGTTGCAGCCCCTTTTTAAGAGATTTGGGTATGGAGGAAAATAGAGAGGGTTGTATTTTCTGACACTTGGTGAGTTCCCTGGAACACCAGGGACACATATTCATGTATAAAAGACGTACAAAAGCGCATTTTGTATGATAGGTCACCTTTAAGGCACTATGTTCACATTGTATCTCTCTAGTTTTGTAACAAACTATCCATCTATATTTACTGATCATTGGTGTAAATGAATACCCTTTAATTATCAATCTGTCATCTCTCGCCTCAGCATAAACGTTACAAACTACTCTGCCTACCAGACTGCTTGGCCCTGAATCGTAAGGATGCATTAATATGCCATTTGCCACCTGGAATCAAGATTCACACCAATCAAGACAATAGTGTCTCTCCTTAATTATGTGAACATAAAGCTTCTTAATATGCACGAGCAGCTGGATGCTGTTATAGACATCAGAGCTTCATCAGCATTTGTTCTTAACTACCACAGCCCAAATCCAGGTAATTGGTACTTTATTCTGTAGTATTGAGAGGGGCAGATGGGAAATGGTATGTTTTTGTTTCTCTCTTCCGTTCTCACTGATGAGCTGAACTAGAGAAAATAAAAAAAGGTGAGAGGTGAGAATCTCATAGTTCAGAAGTATGCTTTGAGGAGGACAAGGTTATAAGATAATATTTTTATAATCATCATTAAAAAATGTATAAGATTTAGTTTGACTATATTTTTGTTGAGAATATGACTCTAAAACTTACCTGAGAAAAGTTTTTGGTAAGAACATTTTGAAAATAATAATGTTTGTTAAACTAAACAAACATTCAACACAGTGTGATGTTTATACATTTAGTGTAATGTTTTAATTGTAGTCCTTTGCCAAAGATACACTTTATGCCAAAATGTATTTCCTTCCAACTAGTGATACACTGCTAATAAAGCAGAACCAATTACCTTGCACAGCTGGGCATGTTTTATATGTTCCTTTCGATCGCAAGCTTTTGATTGCTTGTAAATACACGCCTGATTTATACTTCTTTACAGTGTAAAACGCAGTGGGCCCAATGACAGGAAAGCAATTAATCACATTATTATGCCAATTAAGAAGTTGGTCTGCTCCAGTGAAGGTAGAAAAAAGCAAGGGGATTGAAGATGTGAGAGTGAAGCCCTCCAGGAAGTGAATGTAAGCCATTAAAATACATCCATCACTCCCCTCGTTTACATAGAGACACGGTCTTACATGTATGTGCGTTTTTTTTATGGAAATGTTGAACCAATTGGCCTCCTGTAACATAACCATTTTTTCATAATATGCATTTATTTGAAAGGAAAAGGATATTTATGATTGTCAAGCACACTTTACATGACCCTGGTTGCTGTTGTTAAGATCATACGATAAATGACAACATCTCCAATTATCACCTTAGAATAAAGATAAAAACCAAGAGATTGATATATGAGACTGAGCATATATTATTTCACACTGCATTATGCCATGAAATCTTCAATAACATCAGCAGGGACTACTCTGGAAAATCATTACATGCATACTAACTCTTAAATCTACTTCGAGGTTCACATGAGTCCCTTTCAACTTGGACTTCAGCCTTCACTTAAAACTACATACGTTTTTCTTTAAGCCTGAAATGTGAAAAACGTTATGATATTATAACGCTTGGAAGAAGAGAAATGTGATGAGTGGTTTGTATTTTGTCAAGTAGTGTTTTGGTAGCATTACAATGTGTTGTTAATTAGAGGTGCTGTTTACTAATGGAAATAAATAGTAACTTTCTGCAACCACATTTCAAACCAACAGAGCGTTGAGTAAGAAGATGGATTTTTTTGACTTGCTGTAAGCTAACTAGGAGCTAAGTACCTTTGCTAGCATGAAATCGATGAACCCTCCACACAGTCAATGTGATCAGGGGATCTTTGCATCCATATGGGAGCCTTAATGTTGTCTTGTAAAATCAATAACTAATCAGAAATGTCTACTACTACTAGCCATCTCCTATTGATGGAGGTAGCCTGGCGTTACAGCTGTTTCTTCAACCATTCACATAGGTTGCTGTGCCAGTCCTTCCCTCTGCCCTTCTCTCCTTCCCTCTTCTGGCTAACAACAGTGGACAGTATAGATTATACTGTAATCAATTTAAAACCACTACCACTGATATTAGACACTTTAAATGCTTTTCAAACCAAAAACAAACTTTAGAATTGACTTTTTTAAGGAACTTGAACTACTACACAATAAAACCCACTATATTGAAGCTTTGCTTGACCTTCCATATGAATTTATGGTCAATCTAATCTCTGCAATTAATGCTTGTTATTTATAGTCTTCATTCTGTATTCATTCATTGTGTTTAAAAGGGCTTTGCTTCCCCTCCATGCTGGAAATGGTACGCTCCATTATAAAATACTATAACCCAAAAGTAACATTTACTGTGTATACACCAGACTCAGATCACATTCAATTTTCCAATAAGGATTTGGCTAGTGCATTTAAGCACGCTCAATAACGCTGCTTTACTTTTCTGTCCTATTGGGAGTTTTGCAAAAACAAACAGCCCTCTAGGTAAACCTCTTCACATCAATCTTTCATATGTAGTTTCAGGGATTTGTGTGATTTTAACAGTTCTGTTATCTACCACCTGGAGTCATCAATTGTAGTGATCTGTCAACAAAAGCAGCAATTCAAGGTATCACAAATCTATGATATATATAGAACAGTATGCATGATGTTCAGTAAACGACCAGTCAAAATCAAAGGATCCAACGTGTTTTTAAACGGAGCAGAAATATAACTAGTCTCCCAGTTCAAGTATCTTGGAGTCGTATTGGACTCAAACTTGACTTTTAAGAAACATCATTATTAAGAAAGTATCAAATACTTATTGCAGCAGTTTGCATACATTTGGTACCCCTGCTGGTCTAAGAGTGAGACAAACTCATTCAGTTAAAATTCATTAAATTATGTCTGCCACCTTATATATTTATATTTAAGGCTTTACTGACAATAATGTCACCTAATGTTATTGATTTAAAATATCAATATTGTGGCTTTCCAAGTTAACATTGATTGATATGACAGGGATTACATCAGCATATACTTCTGCCAGGGGATGCCACCCCTCAAAATCTCTTGCCACCCCATGAATACTTTTCTAGATCCGCCCTGGTTACGCTTGACACATTTTGTAATGTTTTAAGTGTTCATCACTGTGCATTGTCCCTGCCAAATAAACGATTAAATAAAATGATATGATTTAAATGTTGAATACAATCATCTCTATTGATGGAGGACAGCTTTAGGCTGAAGCAATATCTGAAAAAAAGCAGCCATGAAAAAAGGCA